AGCTCTCCAACTTTGCCTTTAACATCGTCCTAAAACATCACCTGCAGCCAGTTGCAGGCGCCGGTCCGACCTGAGTGCTGCACGTGAGAGGAGAGCATCGGGAGCGGGGGCCCACCCCCCACAGCCTGAGGCCCTCCCTTCCAACCTCGGGGCCCTCCACTCCTCTCTCTCCTTCCCTGAAAGGCTCAGTGAGAAATTTTATTTTTGTGGCTCTTTTATATGAAGTTCAAAAACCTCGCTCTGTGTTTCTAATACATCTTCTTTATAGACTTACTTTTCCACCGACTCGTCCTTGATCCTCCACCGTCTGACCTGCACAGGCGGTCCCGTCCCAGCAGCCCTGACAGCTGTCGGGGCCCCTCAAGCAGATTCATTTCCTGACGACTCTGTAACCGGCAAGCTTCTCCTGTGCTCCGTGCTGCGAACATCCTTCCTCTCTTTTCTCCCCAGACTATTTCCCAGTTAGTTCCCTGCTACTTCATCACATCTGCCCTTCATTCAACCAACACCTATCATTACACTTGACTTAAAAAACGGTGAGTGTTATGGTCCCACTTGGGTGGGATTATTAACCGTCCAGCTGTAACTGGCCTCATAAAGGTAGAGTTTGAAAGAGTCACTCTTTTCACTGCAAGTGTAGACACTGCTTTCCCATCAGGCCTGCTCCCCCCTCCACCCTTCATTCTTACCTATAAGCAAGTCTCCTCTTTCCCACGTTCCTCTGGCTCACGGTGCTCCAGAGGCCACCACGTGATGTGTCGGGTTGTGTTTCTCAGGCCAGCTGAGTGAGGGCCAAGACAAGAATAAGCAAAAGTCCAGGCAAGTGCCATCCTTAGTGGGAAAGGGGAGGAGGGGGTGGGGCTGTGAGTTGTCTGAGGAGCTCCTGTGCCCAAGGAGTGGACGGAAATGGCCCAATGCGCCGACGGGAGAGGACGTGGGAAGCTACACGTAGCACAGGATGTCCTCGGCGCTGGGAATACGCAGAGGAAACGTTTATTTTTTTTTTCAGTTTTTTAATTGTAAAATATAACATGCATCTGGAAAAGCACATAAAACACGAGCTTGACGAATTATTATAAAACAAGCACCCCAGTAACCCCGATGTAAGGCAAGAGCCGGGACTCGGCTGGCACGAAAGGAGCTCTCCTCCCCAGGCACGGCTCCCTCCTGCCCCCGAGGGCGAGCAGCCCTCCTCTTTAGGGCAATAACTTCCTGGATTTCTTACACTCTTACCAGGTGAACATTCAATCACAGAGCATGGTTTGTGCATGCGTTTCAGATGTCTGTGTATCAAGAGCTGGTGGCGTGGCCGGGTGGCAGGACGTGCTCACGGCACTGAACCTCAGTGCACAAGGCCAAACCATTCTCCGAAGCCTTTCTGTGCCAACACACACTCCCGCAACCAGTGAAAGGAAGTCCCCGTCCCTCCACACCCTCCACACTCACGCTGACCCTTGATGATGCCAGTCATTCTTATATTATAGCCGTCCGGCGAGCGTAGTGGCATTGCCCTGGAGTTTCAATGTGCGTCTCCCTCATAAATAAGAAGTCGAGCACTTATGTATATAATCACCAACCATCTTTTGTGAAGTGCCTGTTCGTCCTCTGCCTCTGTTTTCTGTCTGATTGTCTGTCTTTTCTTTAATGCTTTGTAGTAGTTTTTTTATATACTCTGTAGAGAAGCCCTTTGCCGGCTGTGAAGCATTGCAAGTATCTCCTCCTGTGTCGTGCCTTAATTTTTCACCGTCTTCATGGAAGCTCTCTCAGAGGTTTTCCACGTTATTTTAATGTGGCTAAATGTGTCACATGTTTTCCTTTAGGGTTACTGCTTTTGTTCCTTAAGGAATCTTTTTTTTTTTTTTACCCCAAAGGCATGAAGAAAGGCTTATTGTTTTTCCTTTTACAGGCAGGCTTATGATCCATCTGGCAGGGGTTTCCCACGCGTGTGTCTGGTGTGAGTCAAGGGTAACGTTTTTCCTGTTTCACTATGAATATCCAGTCGTCCCAGAACCGACTACTAAGAAATCCACTTCTCCACTGTCCTGAGCCACTGCTGTCCCACAGCAGCTCCCCACACGCGCACGGGCCTCCCCCTGCACTCCTTATGCTGAGACTTGCCTGTTCGTCCTTGCATCTTCAGTGCATAGTCTGATTACAGTGGCTCTATAATTAGCCTCATAATCCAGGAGAGCACGTTCTCCCACCTTCTCCTCCAGGAGTGTCCTGGCTATTCTTGGATCTTTGAACTCCATATGAATTTTAGAATTAACTCATCAAGTCTCACTGAAAGAACCTCCTGGGATTTTCATGGATTTGGGTTAAATCTGCAGATTAATTTGGGGAAAATTGACATTTTTACAATGACCTTCCAATGCTTAAATAGCATTTCCACTTATTTGGGGCCTTTTTAACTTACAAAAATACTGTATTTATTGATGGAGGTATTGCACATAATTTCTTAGATTTATAACTAAGCATATTTGATGCTATTCTATATGGTGTTTTTATTTTATTTTATTTGTTCCTGTTGGTTGCAATATACAGAAGTAAAATTCTTTTTTTGTATATTGATCTCATATGTAGCAAATTTGATAAATTTTCTTAATTCCTTTCAGACTGCCTACATATAATCATAATGTCTGCAAATAGAGATAATTTTCCTTCTTCCTCTCTGACCCTTGCACTTTTTACTTTTTCTTATCTTGTCCCCCTGGCTAGCACCTCGAGCACAATGTGGAAAGGCAATGACAACAGCAGCTGTGCTGGTCTGACGGTCAATCTCATGGGACATTTTCAGTGCCTGACCTTTAAGTGTACTGTTTGCTGCAGGCTTCTGCAGGTGTTCTTTGTCAGATTAAGGACGTTTCCTCCAGTTCCTTATTTGTTAGAAGTCTTATCATAAATCAATGTTGAATTTTTCCAATATTTTTCTGCCTCTATAGCGATAATCTAATCATTGACTGATCAGATTACAGGAACATCTAATCTCTCTGGGCCTCAATGTCCTGGTCTGCAAATTAGGGAAAAGGATAAAATGCAACCATAAATGTGTTAGTTCCCCACCAAGGGAAAGATGATCAGCCTCAGAATCTTGGAAATGGATCCCATAGTATAGTCTCCTCAATTTTAAATTTGAGAAGCTGGGCTCAAAAGTTTGAGTGCTTTGCTAAAAATCACACATGTTCCTTCCAGAACACGGACTGTAACTAAAGTATCCTGACCCTAAACATGCTGCTATTTCTTTTGTGTCTTATAACACACTGGATCCTTGAAGATAATACCAGAAATGAGTTCTTGGTAATTGTGATGACACCATGATCCACCAGCAGAGAGGGGGCGTGAGAACGGGGGTAGAGGTCAGGGGGTTTGCATCCGGTCCTGGCTCTGCCTCTGGAGCTGCTTGCCCCGGGGGGTGTTGCCGGACCTCAGCTTCTTCATCTGGGGAGAAGATTATAGAGAAGTTGAAGTAGTTGAGCTCACAGGTCCATCTGGTCTCTAAACATCTATAGTTAACTGTACTTGGCTAGTGTAGTTTTGACTAATTCAAATATAAGTCACCACGTGTAGCTGGGGCTACCCTACTGGAGAGCACGACTGTGTAGTGCCAGTGAGACAGGGGAAGCCTCCTTGCTGTTGGTAGCAGGGACACATCTATTCATTCCAGGACTCAGACTTCAGGAAGTCTATCCATGAACCTGAACACGTCCAGAGGAGACTGAACAGGACTGTGAAGGGCCTGGAAACTAGGCACTGAGAAAAATGAGAAAAAGAAGGCTTTTAGAGAAGAAGAATGACTTAAAATGGGACTGCCTTTTGAGTGATTAGACTTATCTGTATAAAGCAGGGAAAGAGCCACTAGCTGGAAGTTATTGAAAGGACAATTTCAATCAGTATAAAACCCAGCTTTCCGGCAAGCAGAGAGCAGAATGCCGGCCTCCTAGGTTGGTAATGACCCACTGCATTGGTCATGCCGGGCTGCCACAGCAAAACGCCGCAGTGCGGGTGGGTGGCTTCAACAGCACACACTTGTCTCTCACAGCTCTGGGCGGCAGAAGTTCAAGATCAGGGTGAAGACGGGTTTGGTTTCTTCTTGACTGGCAGAGGGCTTCCCTCTCTGTCCTCACACAGCCCTCCCTCTGTGTGCTCACACATCCCTCGTGTCTGTCTGTGTCTAAATTTCCTCTTCTTATAAAGACACCATCACATGATTAGGGACCGTCCATAAGACCTCATTTAACCTTCATCACCTCTTGAAAGGCTCCATCTCCAAACACAGTCACATTCTGGCGTAACAGGGTATGAACCTGAGGGGGCCATAACACTCATCAACAGAGGCACACAAAACAAAGGCTCGGAGCAGTGGCCACTTACCAGGGGTGCCAGAGGGTGGCTTTTTCTGTTGGATACAGTGAAAGACGAGTCCAGAGACCTTCACATTATGGTTGGCAGGAAGAAAATAAATTTTAAATGGGAAAATGATGAGAGCATTATAGAGTAGCTGTAATTTCAACCTGACATTAAAGGATCTTAGATTTCAGCAGACACAGTGATGGGGGAAGTGGGGGATCAGGGATTCAGGCCAGAGGGACTTCTAAATGGCACAGGAGTGAGGGGAGTTTGGGAATTCTCCTGGAGCTAGAGAGATGCTTCCGCACTCCTGGAACAGACGGTGGTGTTCGGGCAACAGTGCGATGTGGTAGGACGTCCATTTGGCAACTAGCTCGAACTCCCTGCACACCTTAAGGCTCTCTGGGCAGGAAAAATCCCACTCAGAACCCTGCTGCTTGTCCCTGGCTTTCGTTTGGCCAAAGCTGGCAGAGACCGCAGACAGAGGGGCTCTTCAGATGTCTCACTGCCTGAGCGGCCCCACAGACCAGCTGGGTGCAAAGACCTTGGAAGGGAAAACTGTGTGAAGTGGTGCTCTGTCCTTTCACCGAGTGTTTACAAGTCCCTGCGGCTGTAAACCGAGACTCTGAAGTGCCTTCCTTCCCTTCCCACAGGTGTCAGCCTCCTTACAGGTCTCGGCCAGAGGTCTGACCACTACATATGTGCCAAGAAAGGGGGGACCTGCAACTTCTCCCCCTGCCCGCTCTTCAACAGGATCGAAGGCACCTGTTACAGCGGGAAGGCCAAGTGCTGCATCCGTTGACTCTGAGCTGGAAGCCACGGCAGAGGACCCAGGGGCCAAGTGAAGTATTTGTACCCGTTGTTTTAATAAAAGAAGTTTTTCGAAGCATACCCACTTCAAACCAAAATGATGCTCGTGTCTCCTTTGGGAAGTGGTTAAGAGAGTGTGATGGTCGGAAGGGCAGACAGGCCAGGCCCAAAGCCAGGGTAGGACAGGACTGGGGGTGACGACTGGGGCTCTCCACCTCGTCTTACTGCCGGAGCTCCAGAGCCACGTCAGCATGAGACCAAGGACGTGTGATGAGGGGAGGCTGCAGCTAAAGGCCTTCCCTGGTCCGAGCAGAAGCTCATCTCAGCAGCCTGCTCACTAAGACAGTTCACCTGCTGAGCCAGGAACTGCTGCCCTTGCTCCTTCTGGGGCCTGGGGCACAGGGGTGGTTAACCCCAGCATCTGAGGACTAGTCCCTGTAAGTGTCGCTCTGTAGGCCTCATAGCTGGGTTCCCAGGTGACCATTTTTGACTCCACAACAATCACATGATCTGTTTACAGGTCACTTAGAAAAGCATCCTGTGCCACCCCTGCTCCCGCGTGCCATCGCGTCCGCGCCACTACCCCCGAGACGCCCACTGACGGGGAAGGGGCCGCCCTCCCTGCTTTCCCCATTGACAAGCAAACAGATGAGGTGCTGGCTTGGGGTCACTGCCAAGGTCACTTCTACAGGAGCTAAAAGAAGAGGAGATTCCACAATGGGACAGGCTACAGGCAGAGCTCACCCAGCTGCATATGGAACCAGAGACCCATCCACCGCGGGGCTGGGAAGTTACCCCCTCACTGTCAGCCTCCCTCCCAGGTTCGCCCATCACCACCTGCTGCCTGTGTGAGCTGGCCCTGGGGGCCTGCCTCATCACCCCCTGGTCCGGGGGCAGCTGAGCAGAGCAAGACAGGACGGCTATGGGAGCAGCAGGAGCTACCAGCAGAGTCCCTTTGAGAAGGTGTGTTTCTGCCACTTGTCAGAAAGAGAGCAGTCAAGTCAGACGTGCAAACCCTGAAAGCAAAGCAGGTGCCTCCCCCCGAAGCCTGGAGAGAGGAGCCCCTGTGGGTGGCGGCAGAGGCGGGCTGCCCAGACCCAGGCGTCACCACAAAACAGGTGCAGAGCAGAGTATGGGCCCTGGGGCTTGAGAACTGGCCCAGCGACTCTGCCCTGTGGAAGCCAGGGCACGGTGTGGTTAGAGGCTTCCTGCCGCACGGGGCGTCTGCGGTCCACCCCGAGGCATCTGTGATCTGCTCTGGACAGCAGTTCTCCCCAGGTGGCCACGACGCCACCACGTTCACCCAGACTTCCAGGTCTCTTTGTCCTCTGCACCCACGTCCATTTCTTTCACCATCCCCTCACACTTTGTGGCCGGTGAGTCCATCTCCCTTAGGTCTTCTCCCTCCAGTCACTGGGGGATCCCTCACCACAGCATCCAGGACCCACCACCAAAGTCGGTCCCACCGAAATCCACACTGATTTCCAAGTCATACCGACCTGGGCTTTTGGACAAGCGGCTTAACCTCACTGATCCTTGGCTTTCTGGAGAATATGAAAAGGCCCAGAATGAGTTCAGGCTCGGGGCTGACGATGAGCTCGCTCAGGTGCAGCACTGGCTTGGCCCAGTCCCCCGCTAAGCAGTGGCTGTGAGAACTTGGGGCTGGCAGCCCCCTCCCTGTGCTCTGCCTGGTGCTTGGAGGCGCAGCTGTGGGGAGGGAGATGTGTCATTGTCTTGCCCCGTGATGAGGAGCCTGGCTGGCCCCCTGCACACGGCTCCTCCGCCACCTCCTGCCCCCCGTCACTTCCTGCCCCCCGTCACTCACAAGCTGGTTCTGCTTCTGCGGGTTGAAGAGCTTCCCTCCGAGACACGGAGCCTGACTCACGGCTGAGTCAGAGCACGTGCGCAAGAAGAGAGAAGTCACGTGAGGCTGGCAGACCCCAGAGCCGCAAAGAACCACCGCCGTTCAAGCTGAGAAAGCCTGCAGAAACCGCTCACAGTGCAGGACAGGAGGAGACCCTGGGCTAAGCCCCCTCCCGCCAGCTCCCAGCCGTGCTAGGAAAATCCACTCAGTAGCTGTGACCCCCAGTCTGACTGACATGTTTCAGCTCACTGGTCACACACCTGAAATGTTTCTTCTTCCAAAAGCTGCTAACCTCAAGCAGTCCGATTCTGTACCGTTTCCGTAACTCTCAGTAAAGAACCGCCTTCTGTCTATTTCGAAGCTTCAGTCTCATGTCCTATTTGATGCTGTCCTGCCCCCATGAGGCTAGACCTCAGCTGTGGGGGTGCGAGGGATGGAAGGGGGCGACCACATCGGCCCCTCCTCCCTCCCCTTAGTCCTTTGGATGGGGCAGGGGTGGGGCATAATGCTTGCTCTCTCAGAAGAGCCACCTTTATTAAATCAGCAGGGTTTCTGCTCCCCTGGCCTCACTGATGCCTCCCTACCACTGGCTGCCTCCTCTGCGTTCCAGGCATCTAAAGCCTGCCTCTCCCGAGCTGCATCTGCTGGTTCTCCAGAGGGCCCTACAGAGCTCCCCCCGCTCCACTCATGGGCATGGAACAACTGGTCTGGGCTCAGTCTCTCTCCCTACCAGCCCCCAGCCTCCAGCTTTTGATATCTTTTCACCCAGAAGGTGGCCCGCTAGCCAAAGGCAACCAGATGGCCAAAGTCCAGAAATTTCAGGTCTCTGAATGCAAAGCAGTCGGTACACAGAGCGTGCACCCCATCCCAGCACCCAGCTCCATCTGTCCTGGTTACTTCCCTTACTTTTCAAGGCGCCAGCAGAATCTGCACTCCACCCAGTCACAATTCAGTGACGGCAGCACATGGAAACATCACCTCTACACTTGTAGGGAGGACACACTAGGAGCTCCCCACTAGGAGAGGGAGGGGTGGGCGGTGCAGAACGCTACATGCGGCCCTGGGGACATCAGACAGCAGGCGCCAGACACACAAAACAGCGTGAGGAGTCTCTGAAGGGAAGCGGGAACCGTGTATGAAGTGACATGACATTAAACACCAGGTGTAAGTAATTAAAATGCTGCCACAGGTGAGGAAAAGATCATCAAGTCATTTTGAGGGAAAAAAAGAAGGAAAAGGAAAGAAGGAAGGAAGGGAAGAAAGAGAGAAGGCATGAGTTTTAGAATCTAGGCTGGTCATTTCTACAATTATTCTTTTCTTTCTTTTTTTTAAAAAAAATCATCTCTAAGCATTGCCACAACAAAGGAAAGTCACAGAGGACGTTACAAGTCCCTTAATCTACAGGGGCAGGAACATGTCTACAGCCTGTCAGTCTGCACCGTCCCGCAGGATGACTCCCCCAGCTCCCGAGCCCCAGACCTCACCCCCCAGCTCCGGGTCCGGGTCCGGTTCCGGGGGGAGCTCACATGTCACTGAGCGGAAGGCTCGCCTGCACGTGGCAGCCCTAACCTCTCCCGCTGTCACCTGAATGACACCTTTTAATTTGGCTCTTAAAATGCTTGAGTTTGAGCCTGTTCCACAGAACCGAACTGCCCCCGTGTGCTTCGGTGTGAGTCCCTCAAAGTCCTTTTCTCTGCACTTGCCAGGGAGCAGCCCGAGAAAAGCAGCCGCAGCAGAGCAACCGCGAGGAAAGTTATGAACGTGCATCTTCCGAGGCTCTGCGCCCCCACCGCCGCGCCGGAAGCCCTCTATGTGAGTGTCCACAGTAACCATCTCCTTGCGATTCTTTTTTACGGCACGTTTTTAAAGAAGGAGCCGTAGCTCTCAAATTCCGCCTGTTAACTCACTGCAATTGTGAGTGAGCACCTGCATCTCCTGGTTAACACGCAGGTCCAGGCTCCTTGCAGAGGCTGAAAAAAGAGACCGGTTCGGCCTGGTCCCGAGGGAAAGCGGTTCGGACTTCACCTTCTCTGGCGCCACCTAGAGGCAAATGAGGGTAACGTGGGCACCACCGGCCAGTAGCATCTCTGGCGCCAGGACCTTCTCAGCCACTCAAAGCCAAGCTCTGAATGACCATTCCATCATCCTGTTTTCCAAAACCAGCTCACTGCTCCTCCAGATCAAGCCAGTGGGGAAGACGTACTTCAGACCACTGAGGGGCTTGTTGGATTCCCAGCGGCCAAGCCTGAAAAGCTTTGACTTGCTTTGACTGTGGTCCTGCAGCCTGGGGGTCTGTCCTGCTCCAGGCTCCTCAGCGGGTGTGGCCATGCCGCTGGCTTGTCACTGAACAGAGAGAGTTCAGAAGCCTCATCCCATGGTGTCCCCACAGGGAAGGTCTCGCTGAAACAAGGGCTGGGGGATGGGGCTGCTTTGAGAGCAGTGGCCCTGCCTCGTGGTCTCTCTGGGCCAAGTTCGGAGATTAGATGAACAATGGGAAGTTCAGTGGCACTGAATGGGGCGGGTCAGAGCACGTCTCCCGCTGGCCCTCGGCAGCTGACCGCAGGGGGAAGTGAACTGAGACGCCCTAGGGAGCAACAAGGGCCCTGAGGGTCAGAGCCTGACAAAACGCCCACAATTTTATGAGAGCTGCATCCCAGCACTGGTGTGGGTGGAAGCCCCGTCCTGCCCCGTGTGGAGGTGAGTCATCTTCCCTGGAGGCAACTCGGTGCCGCCCAAAATTCCTGGGCCTTGGGAGGAACACAACCAGAGGCTCATGTGACAAGAGACTAGTATTTGACATTTATAAATCAAACCGCTGAATAAACTGCCCTGTCCTCCCCATCCCAGAACACACACACTTCTACAACAACCTGGGGGGGCAGGTGAAGGCAGATCCTGGGCTCCTGAAAGCCCATCAGCAGAACGAGCCCCACCCCTCGCCCCAGGCATCTCCTGTGCCCAGCGTGGGACAGCGGGCCCTCCTCTTGGGCATCAGTAATTCTGGCATCACTGAAACCCAGAGAATGATCCTTAGGCAGAGGGACATAGGCCTGGTCAGAGAGGAGACCCCCCCGAAGCCGGGACCCTGGCACCTGGCAGGACTCCCTTTGCCTGGGTCTTGCTGGTGCCGAGAAGGACAAGCACAAGGAGAGAGTTTCCAGTTGGCCCTAAAGGCTGAGCACAGAAAGCTCCCCAGGTCGAGGGGTAGTCAAGGAAGTGGACTAACCCTAACCCAGCTGGGTCAGGACAGGCTCCTGAGAGTGGTGCAGACAGCCACCACGGCCCTGCATCTAGTAAACGGAAGTCTAAGCTCAGGGTGTGTGCATGTGCGAGCAGGGGTGTGCGTGTGCGTGTGTGTATGTGTGACTTCCCCTCCTAATACCCGACCCCTGGGCCCCTGGCTTCCCCTGCTGAGTTGTGCGTCACCAGCTGTGCAGAACCTGAGCCCTGTGGCCCAGGGGACACCTGGCTTCGGCAGTGAGCCTGTCAGTTGGTTCTGTGAGAGGCCTTGATCGAAGCCACCTGCAGACTCTAAAAATGAGAAGATGACAGAGACTTCTGTCCATTTTCTGGACCCTGCTGTCTGTGCTCTCTAAAGCAAGTCGAAAAACCTGTTGAACTGGACTCAAGGGCCTCTGGCAGCAGAATTCAGTTTTCCTGAGTCTTTTTTTTCCATAAAGAAGCACTTTATGAAGGGTTTTCACCACTCCCCTTTTCTGCTTTACTCTCCAAACCACGCTGTGATATGAGCCTCATGTAGCTTCTCTGGCCAGACATGGGAGCTGAGGGCTCGGAGCGCCGAGCTTTTGGGCAGGCCTGGGGGCCACCGCAGCCCCCCACAGCTGCGTCCTGCTGTACATCATGCATCAGGGACACATCTAGCGCCTGGTCATAGAAATGCTGTGCTGCTGTAGAGGGAAAAATAAATCTACATGCTCACCACGAGACCTTAGAGGAGATCCCAAAGGAGCAGGAGGCCTGAATGCAGACGAGCCCAGGCCCCTCCCTCCTGCACTGACGCTGGACCTCATACTGGTGGGACATTCCTCTCCAGATCTTGAAGCGCCTGCTACCCCAGGGCCGTATTCCCAACATCACAAGGTGGCAAAGAACCTAAAACACAGCCCTCGCCATCAGTGACCTTGCTCTGCCCTTGATACAATCCTCCTCTAGGTGCCTGGACGGAGGTCATTTCTCGCTTCACTTCACTTTAAAACTCAAGCTGTAATAATCACCCACCCAAAAAACAGACCTTTCATTTACGCATGGTAAAGGGGCAAAAAACAGAGTTCCTGACATTCTTGAGGACTCTTTAACGAGGAGGGTAATGGAAACCTCACCTTCCTCCAGCTCCTTGGAAGTAACAGGTCAGCGAGAAGTCTGGAATTCTGATGGCTGTGGGAAAAGCCAACTGCCCGCTTGAATAACACGATAAACATCATTCACGGTCTCCTGTGCCAGACACTGCCCACAGCAGCTGCGGCAAATATGTTCTCCTGGGAAGGACAGTCCAGTGAGAACCAGGTAATTCAAACCAGGGGTGAGTCTCCCAGTTTGAGCCTCAAATAAGTGGCATCCTGATCCTTTCCCTGGGGTCCCGCAACAGGAGGCCGCTGTGTCCCTGGCAAGGGTGCATATTCTCCGCAGCTCCCACACTCCCCACCTGGGGCAGGAAGGCAGGCCAGTGGGAAGGCTGCCAGTCTGGTGGGCGATGGTCTGCTGCCACCGTGTGGGGCCAATGCACCCCTGGGACCACCAAGCGTGAACCTTGCTTCCTGACTGCTTTGCCAGGAAAATGACAATTTCTGAAAGTCTCTGTAGCAGCTGGATAGTGGCACCTGGGGTGTCAGGTCCTAATCTCTGGGACTGGTGAATGGGAACTTATTTGGAAAAAGCATCTTTGCAGATGGGAGTAAATGAAGGATTTTGAGCTGCAGAGATTATCCTGGATTATCTGGCTGTGCCCTCAGTGACCATACACTCAGCACGAGAGAGTGGCAGGAGATGAGACCCACACAGGAGGAGGGGTGACGGGGCCACGGGGGCAGAGCCTGGGGCGCTGCAGCCGCCAGACGCTGGACCAGGCGAAGAACAGATTCCTCCCCAGAGCTTTCGGAGGGAGCGTGGCCCTGCCAACAACTTGATTTCAGCCCAATGCGGATTCCAGATTTCTGGGCTCCTGAACTGAGGGAATAAATTCCACCAAGTGGAACCACCTTGGTGGTTTTCAACCACCAAGTTCAAGGTGACATTACAGCAGCGTCGGGAAACTAAGACAAGAAGAAGTGAGCTCACATCCTGCTTCAGAGGAGTTCTGTCCTGTCACTGCTTGCTTCCAGAGCAAAGAGGGGCACAGAAAGTGTGCATCCCCTCTTCCAAGGACCCCTGGTCCATGGCAGACTGGCTTATGCTTCAGACTTGAGTGGCAGAGGCGCCCCACATAGCTGTGCAAGAAAATCTGCAGCTGGGACTCCTGCCTCAAGCATCCCCAGGGTCCCCATGACTCCTAAAGGGTATCTGGAGCACACACCCCACTTCCAATGTTGAGGTATCGCTGTACCTACTAGCACAAAAGCATGGCTCTGCTCCCAGGGCCCCCAGCCACCCCCCATCACGGCCGGGCTCCCTCGGGACACGGGGGCACAAGGGGGCAAGTCCCCTGGCTTGGAGGCCCAACTCCTGCCCCAGGCCAGCCAACACACTTGCAAATAACCGGAAACTCAGCTCAAATTAGATTGAAAAAACCAAGGGCTGCTGTCTGGGCAGTGCAGAGAGGAAGCCCAGGCGCAGGGCCTCTGGACCGAGTGTGGACATGGCGCCACCAGGAACGCAGGGCATCTTCCCCGGGGTGTGTTATTCCCAGACTCTCGGTGCCGAGGTGGCTGCTAAAATCCTGGGCGACTTTGGGTTTTGGGGTCTTCTGTGCCCTTGTGGAGAAAAAGCACTTTTCTTTCTCAACCGATCGGACGAACAGTGGGCTTCACTGGAAGTCCCCGCCACAGCCCTGCCCGATAGGCACGCTGACCCAGGGGATGTCCCGTCTCGCTTGCCGGGCCTGCGGTAGGGGTCTGTTCTGGAATGCTCTCGGCAGTCAGGTGTGTGGGGAGCCGGAGTGAGGCGGTTCCCACCTAAGCCCTGTGGCCGGCGGGCGGGCGTGGGGCGGCTCCGTTGGCGAGGTTCCCACATACAGATACCAGTCATTCTGTCACAGCTGGGATCATCACAGCGGCATCCCTGCCCCACACGCCTCGTGCGCGAGCGCCTGGGAGCCCTGTACGCAGAGGCCGCTCCAGCCTGGGCAGCCCACTGCCGCAGGCCCACTCCCCTTTCTTCTCTGCCGCCTGCGACCTGCCATGAGGAGCCTCTGCTTTCTGCTCCTGGCCACCTTCATCCTCTTCGCTCAGTTTGCCTCAGGTCAGCACGACTGGCCCTTTCGGCTGCCTTCTATAAGCCAAAGCAGGTCAGTAGGCCAGCCCAGACTCCAAAGCTGGGGAAACGGCCTCCGTCTGCAGGAGCTGCAAAGGGCCAGGTCAGGGAGGGGTACGGTGGTGCCCAGGCTTGCAGACCACACAGGCCCCCGATCAGAACTGACGGGTTTCAGCCTAATTTTCCAGCTGCCTCTTCCCCAGCCCTTCCCTGCCCTGTATGTACGACATTCGTGTTGTGGGGAGAGCCCTCGGACCCCCAGGGCAGAGGGAGATACGATGCCAGTGTCCTGAAAGAACACCCGCTTCCTCCTTTTCTCACTCTGTGTCTGGAGTCTGTCCAGCCCCAAGTGGAGGGAGAGGAAGGAGACAAAAAAAGATGCTGCCGCCCAGCTTTCAGAGGTCTAAGGGCTTCCGTTTCTGCCCACAATGCTGCGAAGCACCTCCATGGAAACATGTCCTGCTGGAGAAGGACCTGGACAGAAGTCAGTCTCACCCGGGTCCTGCTCCTGGCTCTGCCACCTACCAGCCAAGAAACTGACCTTAAGCCAGACCCTCCTCCTCCCTGCATCTCAGTGAGCAGACACCGCACAGGCTTACGCGCAGGGTCTGTTAAGATAGTATTTCCAAAGCATGTGGAAATTACCCAAGATATTCAAGTATAAGAGACTATTTTAATGGTGTTAAAATACATTTCTTTTTACACCAAGTCATTTTCCAACATCCACATGACAGGTTTTGAAGACAAAGGTTTTCCACCTCCTCCCTCTGACCAGTCAGAATCAGAGTTTTGAGCCCCAGGTTCGGAACAGCTGGTGTGCTGGGGCAGAGGTACTCGCACCAGCACGAACCAGGCTGAGCTGCGGGACCTCCCTCCACCCATGCTCGCCTCTGTCTGCCCCCATACACACTGGGAACTCATGAGCAGCTGCATGTGCCCACCAGAAAACATACCTGCAGGTGCCAGCATGGCCCCAGTATTGGTGGGTTTGAGGGAGGATTCATTCGCACGGCTGAGGTAGGGACAGAAGTCTCTGCGGATGGCACGTGGCTTCCTCCCAAGCACTATAACCAAGTTGCTAAAGAAGTAGGATCTTAGGGCTCCTGGTGAACTGTTAGCAATCCTCTGATGAACCTTCTGGCTGGAGGCGCAAATCTAGTTATTTCCAACCACCACCATCACCCGGCAGGCTGCCTAAAGGAGCTGCCTCAATCAGCACGTTTCATTCTGTTCATGTGGGACTCAGATGAAGCCTGTGCGCCCACCGATAAGAAATACATTTATAAGCAGTCTTGCTGGTCTTACCTGCCCTATTTGGACTTAGGACAGAAAGCAGTCCCTGGACCCCACATGGTAAGTGCTCATCAAATATGTTTACTCAAACATACATCATAAAAATGACCCCTTAAAGTCATTCCACTGGGGCCATGGGGCAAGCATGCAGGTGTGTGCCACAGCTCCATTGTGCTCTCGAGGTGCTCCCCCCCGGGCACTGGCCATCTGTCAGGTCGGGGCTAGCGTCAGGCTGAGAGAAGCACTGATACAGGAAGGAAAACTGACGTTGTAGAGACATCCGAGCACACAACCTCGCTTCCAAAGCTTTATCTGCATTTTATTTCACTAAAATATTGGCTCATGATGGAATGAGCGTTAAAACAAGAAGGTCCTTCATCACAGATAAAGGGGCGTCAGGGAGGGTGTGGACCTGGACCGCTCTGGGTCCACGACTCACCTGTCCATTCCACCCACAGCCAGCTGCCCCGGGGCCTCAACCCCAGGCAGACTGGGCCATTTGGAGCCTGGGAGGAAGCACCCCGCTCCTACCTACGTCCTGTCCAGTCTGTATTTTCCCAGGAGTTTCCATGTGGGCCCTTCTGTTCACACTTAGACCTCCAGGCCTCCCTCCTTGGATGCCCCCTAACTAAGGCTCGGGCTGCCCCAGGGGGTCGTGAGTGCCCCGGCACCCGGGAGCCGTGCGCCCTGTCCTTTCTCCAGAAGCGGCGCTCAGCTCCCTGAGCCCGTCCCGATGTGCGCTTCTGAAACGTGCCTGTCACTCCTGCGGTCGCGCTGACCGCCCTGTCCTCCACCCACAGGTGAAGTGCAAGGACTGCGGAGCCTTTGGAGTGAGCAGCCTCAGGTGCCCCATGAAGCGCTGGCACAGGGCCCGAGTCCCCCAGCCCCTGGGCTCCACACGCTGGAAAGAGAACCTAGAGGCACGGAAGCTGCGGACCCCGCGGACCTCGAGCACGGCCGCGAGGGAGGAGGGTCAAAGGCCAAGGTGAGCAGTGTGGGGGGTGCTGCCCAATGTCTGGGCTGAAATCTCTGGAAACCGTAAAGCACAGGTCTGATCGGATTAGGGACCCACCCTAAAGGAGTCACCTTAACCTAACCACAGTCCTAACTGCCCTACGCTCATGTACAATCACATTCTGATAAATTAAATGTTCGAGTTTCAACATATGAATTTGGGGGAGGGGAACACAATTCAGTTTATCAAAGTTGCTTCATTCTTTTTTTTATTTTTATGTTGTAAAAACTTACTTTATTTTTTATTGAATAAAACAATAATATCCATGAATTAAAGGGTACAAAAAATAAGATTGTTTGAGGCAAGGAGAAATGGTAACTAATGGACTCTGTCCTCAAATTGGATTGAAAATACTGAGAGGCCGGCTGTTGGAAATAAAGGGAGTTCAAAATTTTAGCATTTTTATTTTAATTTAACTTTAAGTTTGGGTCATACTACGTTGTATTTAAATGCTAAGAGGAGGTGGTTCAGAGAGAGAGAGTTTAAAATAAAGTGTGTACATTGTTTTACAACTTATACAACTCAATATCAAAAACCAAACAATCCAATTAAAAAGTGGGCAGAGGATCTGAATAGACATTTTGGTTGAGAAGAAATACCATGGCCAGAGGCCCATGAAAAGATGCTCAGCATTACTCATCACCAGAGAAATGTAAATCAAATCCACAATGAGATACCACCTCACACCTGTCTGAATGCCCTCATGAAAAATCCTACAAATAAAATAGGTTGTCTAGGATACGGAGAAAAGGGAACCCTGGTACACTTGTTGGTGGGAGTATAAATTAGTGCACTGCTATGGGAAAGGGCACAGAGAGTCCTAAAAGGCTAAACATAGAACTACTATGTATCATCCAACAATTCCACTCCTGGGTATATAGCTCAAACACAATTTTGAAAAGAAACGTGCACCCAATGTTCACATCTGCATTATTTACACTAGCCAAGACATGGGAGCAATCTATGTGTCCATTAACAGATGAATGGATAAAGAACAAGTGGTGAGTACATAATGGAATATTACTCTGTCATAAAAAATAAAATAAAATTTTGCCATTTGCAACAACATGGATGGACTTGGAGGGTCTTATTATTAGAGAAATAAAGTCAGACCAAAAAAAAAAGATGAATATTGTATGCATTCACTTATTGTGAAATGTAAAAAAAAGTGAAGCAAAGAAATGAAATAAGAAAACACAAACAGATTTACAAATATAGGATACAAACTGGGGTTTACCAAAGTAAAGAGAGAAGGGGGAGGGGCAAATTAGAAATAAGAGATTGAAAGCTACTAATTACTATGTATAAAATTTTAAAACTTTTACCTCCATTAACAAAAAAGGGAAAAATTATAAAATTTAAAACTTAGCTACAGGGGTAAATTTTACCACACAGGGAATATAGGCAATATTTTATAATGACTTTAAGTAGAGTATACTGTTTAAAATGATTAAATTACCATGCTGCACACCTGAAACTAATATAACACTATAAATACTTAAAAAGTAAAAATAAAGTGTATTGGTTTTTAATTATAATGTACATTCTGCCATGACAGGAGACAGCAGGAAAGAACACAAATATAGAAATCAATTACCCAGCTAAGATTAAAAGCAACTCACTTCCTTTTATGAGGGAGACGGCATAAGTAATGAATGACAGGACAGGAATTCTGTAAATCTTGTGGTGGAAAGTATCCACCCAAAATTATCTATTTCATTTGTGAAATAGTTTACACACAATTTGACGAATGTGAGCGAAAAGTGTGAGTCCTCAGAGACTGAGTGGTAATAGCGAAGGTTGAAATACTCTTTTTTCAAATCGAAGTATAGTTGATCTACCTTAATATTTTGGTTTCAGGTGAAATGAAATAAATACTCTTTAATGAGCATGGGCAATGGAACTGAAATGCCTGGCATAATAGGATTTTTAGGCATTTTATGACAAATAACCTACATGTCCTCAGATATAGTGAAATA